TTCAGTGTTTTTATCATAACTTTGTATTCCGATATTCGATTGAGGCAATTCAAAATGCGTTGGAAAGCTAACCCATCTGACTACAACTTTGATTCAAACATCATTCTCCAATTCGATCACTTTCTATGCCAAAAATATGTCTCAATATAACGGACTATATAACGGAATTTTTTGTTTTAAACAGGCAACTGCACCTTCCTTCAATATTTTTATCATAACTTTGTATTTCGATATTCGATTGAAGCGATTCAAAATGCGTTGGAAAGCTAACTCATCTGGCTACAACTTTGATTCAGACATCATTCTCCAATTCAATCACTTTCTATTCCAAAAATAGGTCTCAATATAACGAACTATGTAACGAAATTTCTTGTTTTAAACATGCAGCTGCACCTTCTTTCAGTATTTTTATTATAACTTTGTATTTTGATATCCGATTGAGACGATTCAAAATGAGTTGGAAAGCTAACTCATCTGGCTACAACTTTGATTCAGACATCATTCTCCAATTCGATCACTTTCTATACCAAAAGTATGTCTCAATATAACGGATTATGTAACAGAATTTCTTGTTTTAAACAGGTAGCTGCACCTTCCTTCAGTGTTTTTATCATAACTTTGTATTCCGATATCCGATTGAGGCGATTCAAAATGCGTTGGAAAGCTAACTCATCTGGCTACAACTTTGATTCAGACATCATTCTCCAATTCGATCACTTCCTATGCCAAAAATAGGTCTCAATATGAGACTAAAACACCGGAGCATAACTTTTCGGTTGGAAATTGATTTGTGATCATCTTTTGACTAAATTTGATCCCCTTGACATCTTCCTTTATCCAATTGACTCCGAGCACTCTCAAATCTTCATCGTGAGATTCGGCACAACTTTTAAGTATTTACATTTTAGCCCCCGAACTTTGGATCCCTTACAATTTAGCCATTTCTCCAAATTTGTCTACTTTTGCTTATTTTCTTCAATCTCACCAACCTACATCACAATATCAAAATCACACATCTAATTATTTATCAATTACATAAACATTACATCATTAATTATTTATAGGGTGTCTGTTTCTGCTTTTCAGCAGAAATCAAGCCGTTGACAACACAATTCATGTCGTTGGGAGCCGCAATTTTGGACCAATTCTCTCACTGTAGGGCTGTAGGTTTGAAAAAAAAAGGGTAACATAATCAATTTTCCTTCCTCCTTGCAGGGCGCTCAGACACGCCCTTAATTAACCACAAAAAATTACATCTTTATTAATAACAAATTAATTATTAAACAAAAATATTAAATATAAACTAACGTTGCTTGCACCTAGTTTTCTATTAAAATTGTTAAACGACTTGACTCATTTAAGTAGCAAAGTTAATAGGTAATTAATAACTTATCTATTTAAATTACGTTTTCAATATGTTCATTGGCTGTAAAATTAAAATTGATTTTTCTCTTCGTAAAAGCACAACCAAACAAACGCATAATGGGTGGGTCAAACTATTTTATTTAAAAAATTATATTTTCTAGTCACATCTATTGGCGCTGCAGTAATGTGAATGAGGTGACCGATATGGATTTAAAAGTGAAAACAAGAAAGCGCGTGTCCATTTGGATAGTATCAATGCGAAAACGGTACCAATGGAAAAAGAATCGGACGGAATGTCCAGATGTAGCAAAAGCGTGTTCACTATTGCGGAACAACTGAAAATATTTTTTGAATCAAGTCCACATTGTGAGTAGTTCAAGAGACTTGACAATGAAGACAAAGGCTCTGACTAGGTAAAAATCCATCCTGAAAACGAAACGGGAATGTAAACACCTCTTTAATTCTTCATTGACCAGTTGACTCATTATTGCCTCCTCGACAACTTCCTTGAAAGGAAGATCTAAAATTCCATGTATCCAATACAAAATACACGTTTATTTCGAGTCTTCGATTATAATGAACTAAATTGGACAGAATTAAACGAGACTACGTCTCTATTCATATAAAGTTATTAGTAATTTTTTTAATAAATGTATGGATAATAAATCGGTAGTAGATATTAATGCGTGATCGAAATTAATGTAACTCTGAGAATAATTAAGACTCTTATTACAATTATTATATGCAATTAAGTAAGGAATTATGAACCGCACTATATGAACAGAATCTACTGTAGAGCTTTATCCGTTAATTCTATAATAGAAGAACCTGTCAAACACTAGCCTCGTATTCATCAAAAGTAAAGAATTAGTCAAACACTAGCCTCGTATCAATCATCCTTTCCCCACACCGATCAAAGAATCCAACAGTTTCTAAAATGTCACGGTCACATTAGCTGTAGACCCCACGCACTCTCTCAATCTCTCTATCACACACATCCAGGTCCCAAACTATTTATATAGTGGAAAGTTAGTCCACAAAGAATTGACATAGTAGCAAGTTCATCTCCACGAAATGAAATGAAGCAAAATAAACGCACCATAGTCTGATCATCAGAATTCGTTAGCCTATTCAATTAAGTTAATTAGGATCGCAAAATACTGTGGTGCACAAACTAGTTACAGATATGTCCTTTGAGGTGAGTTAGTGGTAACGGTAGGTGTGGCAAGGATTGGTGGATTATTAGGTGGGCGGATAAGTAGGAGAAGATGTTTGGTGTTTGTTTCTCTCTTTTTTAATTAGAAATTAAAAAGTGGACCTTCGAGATTGCTATCTTTCTTAGGTTGGGTATCGAGTTTCTATTATGATAATAAATTTAGGGAGTAATAATGCAATTTTGCGCTTACTTAATTTACACGTTCATTCCCTTTCTTTTCCTGCTAAATAGCGGCCCCCACCCCCAAAGGCCCACTCAACTGTTGAAACACGGTATGTCAACCTCCGAATGAAGATCGTCGGAAAGTGTTCCTCTTCATACCTTGCTCAACCTCCCTCATAAAACCCTGAACGCCACCCCCGAAAACAATTATCTTGTATAATAAACTTCAAATTACTGTAATATTATCAAATGGTAGCATTCAAGAATATGGCTTGGCTGTCGGAGATTAGCATTTTCATGGGTGAGAAGGAACCCAAGAAGGCGTCCCAGTTGGGAATCCTTGCATTCGAGACAGCAAAAACCATGTCAATGTTGCTGTCTTTATACAAATCTCTATCTGATGAAGAGATGTCCAGGCTCAGGAATGCCATGAAATCCGAAGGGATTGCTTATTTGAATTCCAAAGATGAAGGCTTTCTTTTGAGCCTTGCATGTGCTGAAACGCTTGAAGATCTTGATAAAGTAGCGGCAGCTGTGGCCAGATTAGGTCAAAAATGTATAGATCTTGGCTTGAATCGGTTTGATCTCGTTTACACAGATCTTAAACTGGGTATTGCTGATTTTGGAAAATTAGAGTATGGATCGAAAAAGACTGAAAAAAGAGTAGCAAAAATGGAGAGGTTGACCGGAGCCACCGCTGGCTTATACACGGCATTGGAGGCTCTGGCAGAACTGGAAATTTATGAAAGGAAGCTCAAGCAATGGAAGAACAGTACCCCAACGCAATTGCAGAAGGCCAATTTTGATGATTTTAGTCAGAAACTCGAGCAACAAAGGAAGCGAGTGTGCCGTTTCAGAGAAATTTCCTTATGGAGTAAGACGTTTGATAAGAGCGTTAGCCTAATGGCTCGTCTTGTGTGCATAGTATATGCAAGAATTTGTTCAGTTTTTGGTCCCTATATTCCTGTCGTACCAGTTAAAGACCAAATTCTTCCTCGGTCCGGTCCAATAACAAGTACATCTAAGCCTATTTTGGTTCGATTTTACAGCAGAAAATCTGAAGATATAAGCTTAGTTGCCAAAAACAATAGGGTTTTTCATGCGGCGGGGCCTTCAACAGTTGGCGGTTCAGGTCTTGCAATGCGTTATGCAAATGTGATTCAATTGGCTGAAAGATACTTGGATTCAGCAGCATCAGTAGATCATGAAGAACGTGAATCCTTATACCAAATGCTGCCGGAAAATCTGAAAGCTTCTGTAAGAATAAAGCTGAGCAAGAAAATGAAAAGAGCGGAGGAAGATGAGTTGTTGGCTGCCGGTTGGAGAGACGCAATGGCGGAGATTTTGCGGTGGCTTGCACCGATGGCGAACGACACAATGAAGTGGCAACGGGAGAGGAATTTTGAGAGGATGAAGTTTGATTCTAAACCTTCATCAGTACTGTTGTTGCAGACTTTGCATTTTTCTGATAAAGAGAAGACTGAAGCAGCCATTGCTGAGCTCTTAGTTGGACTAAGTTGCATATACCGATTCGAGAATCGCAGATTCGAATGATCATATGTCAAGTTGGCATGCTCGTGAAAGCCCTGCATCTTGACTTTATAAGCACATTGGGTATGTTCCTTTTGCAAATTGAGATGAGTTCTACACAAAGTGATCATTACTTGGATCGGGATCATCCGGATTAATTAGATAAATTAATTTTAATAGTTAGGTAGAATTATTTGGTTGAAAAGTTAGATAGTTAAGATTTCGTTTGTTCTTGATTCTTTTATGCAAAATATTTCTATTCATTGATGAAGTACCATATTTTACATACGTTTGTTGAACCAAAGCTAGGAAATGAAATGTCAAATTAATTGATTATTTTACTTCTAAAGTCCGGCATGGATTCTTCAAATTTGTTGCATCCTTATCATTTACAATAGCTACCACTATGAATGACAATTGTATGGTGGATTATTGTGGTTATATAATATCATTACTATTATACTCACCGGTTGATGGGTAAATAATAAATATTAAAATATAGACAAAAAAACCTAAAATAAAAAGAAATAAGCCACTGATCCACCCTTATCCTCTTCGGGTGGTCTCACGTGTCTATAAATCTGATCAAGAACGAATTATCCATTTTTCGAACCTTTGGTATATATACATTCTCTACGTTATGGAATAAGATATTAGCCTTTTTAAAATAAAAATAATAAACGTTGTGAGTTGTCATGCGATAAAGTAATGGTTGAATATGTTAAAAAAAATGATAAATTCGTTAAAAGGTAAATTCCATTTTGCGGGACATGTTAAAAGATAAATTCCACATTTCGATAATTATCCGATATGAGATTTATCCCTTAACACTTCCTACATATATACACAAATTGTCAAATTATGTAAATCTTGCGTCTTTGATCATTAAAAAAAATGTACTCGTTTTCCCAAATAAGATGATTTATGCTAATTGCATCCGATCCAGATATTAGAAAAAAAAAAAAGTCGAGTACTTGAGATTGCAAGAAAAAATTTTAAAAAATCCTACCATTAAGAAGCCGAGGTTTCGAAGAATCGTCTAACAAGTGATGAATATTAGGACGAACAAAAATAGTTTTGGTAGAACCAATTTGAATATTGGTTAGATTAGTATCCTGCAATATATATGTTTAGAGTAATGTTATTCATCCTCAGTGGAGATGAAAATACAATTTATGTGGATTTAAATGATAAGTTAAACTTATTTAATTTAACTTATCATTTAATGCTACATTAACGCTACTTAGAGTGTGTTTTTATCTCTAGTGGGGATGAATAGCATTACTCGTATGTTTATGGTAGATCGAACGGCAAATGTGGAACGTCTGTACTAGGAGTCATCAAATTAAAAAAGAATGGAAGTATGCTAGTTCGATAAGACATGGAAAAAAAAACCACTGACGTACTAGCTACCACTAAATATGGCCGCAAAGGTTAATAAATTTATCCAACTAGTCCAATTTGATCGAAAAAAATCCCAGCCAATTTTTTTTTGAAACAAGTTTCATAGATCACCACAATAGCAAACGGTACACGGAGGAAAGACCTCCAACATAAAGCCCTCCAAAGCGGGATTAAGTGCTACCAAGGCAAGAGCCCAAACTAAAACAATGGTCATCACAACCAATCGAAAAACAAAAATGATCAACAAAC